AGTCAAAAATTCTATCAACGGAGTCATCATCAATTATCAGTTTTTGGTTAAAATTGGTCCAACATTACACTGGTTAGTGTGTCTGGTACCATTATTGTTTCTACCTGAAATGTTTTGGGTTAATCAATATAAATTGGCATACAATCTATTAATCGAGGCTATTTATAGTTTAAACTCGAAATAGGCATACATTAAAAATGCATGTATAGGGTGCTGTTTGTAGAGACTTCAAATTGATTTTTCTTGCTCCAAAGGGATGAAGTCTAATCATTTTAGCTGTAATGATAATGTTACGCAAAGAACAGATATGTCTCACTGACCATTCTGTATTGATCAATCCAAAATGTTTCATGTAGAAATAGCAATGGTACCAAAGACAAACCTAAATAATTTAGGTTTGATTCTTTTGATCATGAGTGCTGGTGGTTCTGAAGTAAATTTGTTTCATGAAAATAATTCACAAAACTAAACCCAAAAAAAAAGAAAACTTTATTTTCATTTATCCTTATCATTGAAATAATTGTTGTTGATTTCCTGTTTGCTTGGTGGTTTTAAAGTAGAGATTCTTTGAATCTTGATTTTAAAACTCAACACTAAAATATCTTTTTGGTCACATGGATGTCCCCTAGATGGATTGATCTTTTGTGGTTGCATTTGGCAAAAGCTCTGTGTTATGTCCCCTCAATTTTAAGAATCCCCACCTCACAAAGAAAATAAAGAAAAGAAAAGCTTAAACAAATAAAAATGGTAGACCAAAAGGCTACAGGCCACAAAAGCATTGCTGTCTTAACCCTGCTTAACCCTGTTCTTATGTGAAACTAAAATGGAACTGAGCTTCTCTTTGGATGACCTCCTGTCATTTTGAAGACTAACCATGTATACCCAGATGGATTGAAAAGCAAATTCTGGATCTTATTTTGCTAAACTGAGATAAGATTTGAACTTTAGAAAATAAGCATATGTAATAATTCTGTGTAGCTAATGTTGTATGCAAAAGTGCCAAGATCATCAAATCTCTCATGCTGCCTTTAATTCAACTAAACTTGTCAAGCGAATCAATCTGACCCAAAGGTACATGTTTCTTAACCGAGCCCCACCAACTTAATGAAACAGAATTTACTGAAACCACTCCAACCCTACAGAGTTCCAACAGGTATTATCCTGACCCATCCTGTGAACAGTACCCATGTTTCTTAGACTCCAGTTTCACTGTCACCAGTAATGGAAGTTTCATGATACTACACTCTGAGCATCTGTCACCTGTGAACAATACCCATGACAAAATATCTAATATTAATTAAAGTAGAAGCATCAAAACACCTTGAACAAGAGAAAGAGAAAAGAAAGCAAAGCAATACAGATGATGTGGGTTCATTACAGATTTATACATAAAAAAAAATATTATATATATATAATAAAATTGTTATATATATATATTGGAAAGCCGAACTCAAATAGCTAGATATTCGGCTTGGCTCAGCTCGTATCCATCCTATGTATAATTAACCCAAATCCCATCTTAAAGCCAGTTAACTGAGTGATCATAACTCCTAGTCTCTTAACTGTTCAAATTCGATGTTTCTTGTGCTTAGCTTCTCAAAATCTCTTCTAAAACAATTTAGGGGCATTCTTTCTTTTGGATTTTGAGGGGTGGGGAGGAGTTGGTCAATGGGATTTTGATTTCCACTGACCAAGAAACCTATATTCTTTTTTTAGATTTATGTGGGGATCAGGGAAAGTTTATTTTCTTGGGTGTCACTTACCTCTCCTAGGTGGATAAATAACTTTCCCATCTGTGAGGAAAGTTGCCAATACTTAAATGAGACAAAAATGCCCCTTTTAATATTGGATTTTAATGGCTAAAATGGTCATTACCTTATTTACATGGAAAATAAAAGAACATGGATAAATACACTTACCCGAATAAGTCTTTCCTGGAAACACTTACCCGGATAAATGTATTTACCCAGATAAGTATCTTACCTAAAAGCAAGCGTAGCCTTAATCCTATCAGATCTAACAAATCAGTATGGCCCTCGATAGAGTAGAATGGTGAAATGGGATTCAGATTCATCTGACTAGGAGTACAACTCTGCCCCAAACACAATATATTAAAAGTTAAAACTTCAACCCTATTTTCAACATGCCCGGATCTCCTACACTTGCACCTTATATTAAGGCGTACACTAACCGTCCAAATTCATAGGGTGGGGGCTTCTTGATTGGTCAAACTCTCAAATGAAAAAAAAAAAAAAACAAATGAATATGATACTTGAAGAACTTTGACCAATCACCCAATCATACCCATCAAGAGAACACATATTGCATATAGACTATATACTATAATTGCAAAGTGCCAACTAGTAGGTTGGTAAGGTTTCCTATTGGTCGTAACAGAGATTTGTGATTGAATCCTGCCGGCACTAAAATTAATTAGGGGGATGGGCAACCTCTCTCTCTCTCTCTCACCTAACCTAACCTTGGTCCTTACCAAAATGTATTCTATTGAACCCGCATATATTTGGTGCAAGGTTTTAGGAATTTTGGTTTTCAAAGTTAGAAATTCAGTTAATGGAAAAAACCAAATTAATCAAAATCCATTATGTAATATGTAATATATAATATACAATATATAACATATAATATATAATATATATAATATTCTATATATTTATGTATTAATATATTATATATAATGTATGATAATGAAATTCAAGTTCATAATATATATATATATATATATATATATATATATATATTAAATACGGTTTTTAATCGAAATAACCAAAAATCGTACTGAAAGTTTCGATTTTGATTTTCTTATAATTTGGTTTCGGTTCGATTTTCATCTTTTTATTTTGGTTTTAATTTATTCAATTCGATTTTTAATCAAATACTCAACCCAACCCCGAAACTGGGTTTTGAGATGGCCGATTCTCCAAAATGTTGATTTAGTCATGTCTATTTTTTTATTTATTTGAAATCCTGTCATGTCCTCTTAAATAAGCTTTTGTTTTTATTGAATTTCTTTTAATTTTTCGCATTCTTCTAGCAGGATGAGTGGTCAACCCAGTCGACCTATTCGGTCCGAGCGGTCATCATCGAATCTGATTGCAGGTAAGTTTTTTTACAAGGGTTGAGACTTTGTTAGCTATCTCTTTTCTTTCTTGGAAAGCCAAAAGAGATTTTGCTGTATGTGTTGTTTGTTTTCATTGCTGTTTTTATCTAAAATATTTTGAGTTCATAAATTGGCATACAACAACTGTTATTTTACTACATGAATGGGAGACTGTTTGCAAAGAGTCAAATTAACAGTTTTAGCCTCAGAGGCTGGGTTTGAAAATGATACAAATGGAGTGTAAATCTCGGTTGAGAGTATATTTGATTTTGGCAACATTGTATTTATGCATTGACAAATGACAAAAAACACATTTTCCAATGCATATTTACATATATAATGAGATGTAAGAGTACATAAAAAAATAAGTAAATTTGCATTTAAGTGAGTTTTTGATAAAAAAAAGGCATATGCTTTATTGAAATTTGTGTTTGCATCCATTACAATTAAAAATCTATTTGGTAAGGAGGTAAATTTGTCGGTACAAAATTAACCCAACTTTGCAATTTATATGAACCGTTTTACACTTTACATATTTGCATCGTTTTCAAACGCAGGCAGTGGTAAATTCCAATCCTTCTAGTTGAAGTGATTCTCGTATTTGATGCGACGATACATATCTACCAATTTGTATTGATGGAGTTCAAATCAATCTCCCACAAGATAGTTTCCCACAATACATCCCGGCGCCATGTATTAAGAACATCTTCCAATAATAATACCAGAAATGATGAAGCATCATCGGGAGATCTTCCCGATACAAAGCGGAGATGTAGTGTGGGCTGATTTCAACTCGCATTGATGAACCCAAACGCATGTAAAAATATTAATGGTAACAAGCGAAACCTTTCTTAGCTATAATTCCCCCGGTTATTACCGCTATAGAATATCTACAATAAGACCATATAACACGGTCAAAAAAAATTAGATTTTATACATAAGAGTGCACACTGCACACCTATACAGTATAACAGTACACACCAAAGACCTTCAAATCAAATCCGCATCCAATGTGGGAAAAACGACGAGACCCTCATTAGAAAATGAAGCCACATGACTAACCCTCAGTAGAAAACGAAGCCACATGACTAACCCTCAGTAGAAAATGAAGCCACATGACTAGTTGACTAAAAATGAAGTGCCAGTTGGCATTGTCTTTTGCTTACAAAAAAATCACAGGAATTTGTACATACAAACAAAATAATGGCTAGAATAATTTTAACAATCAAACATGCATTAATCTATTCTTTTTTATTATAATTCCATCTTTCGTCGGATAAAACTGAGTTAGGCAGCGGCTGGTTACCAACCAGAAGTCCATAACAAAATGGCAACAACTCCACGCCATTACGTGCCTCCCAAAGCTTACCGCCTTTTCCATAAAATGTACAACAAAAGTAAAAGAGATACTCCCGCCACCAAGACCAAGGTCTCTCCTTTTCTATCATCCGCCTAAAACGATCATTGGCCTTCGCCATTCGGCAAAACTTTCGTTTTCGTTTTTATCTTTTGAGACCCGTTGACGTGGAGTCCAGTCTGCTACCAACAAAGAAAAAGCAGATTCGATAGATTCAGAAGGGAAGAAGAAAGTAATTTCCAGTATCCTCGAGAAATTTCATACGAAGACCATAGCCAGACGGGATATATCTAATAGTCGATGACCACGACCACCAGGATTTGTAATTGTATTACTCGTTGATAATCGACAAAGGCAGAAGCGGAGACACTTCCCCAGCAAATTACGTCCACAATTTCACTAGACATCTGGCCGTGGGGAGGGGGCATTGGCATGAAGCCAACACAAAACACTCTAAAATCTAAAAGTCCACCCTCTGAGAAATGAAAGCATCCATTAAATAAAGAAATGTTGGCAAAATTAATATGAAGAAACTGAAAATACATCCAGCAGCAATAATTACATGGCCGGAGGAGGCCTTTTGATAAAAAAAAAAAAAAAAGACGAATAATATAAAGACAATAACAAAAAAACAATCAGAAAAAAAAAAATATATATATATATATATATATATCTGAGGTCACAAGGAAAGATTCTACACAGGTAATTGGAGAGGAGAATATGATGCAGCAAATTAATATTAACTTTGCTAATCAAGGCCGCGATGTTGGTAAATGGTAATACACTATGCGCTTTCCGCTGGAATTTCGCCCACATCATCCAAGTTATTGGCGTTTTTCGGCCTCCACCCAGTCCTGGCCCTCAGAATTTCGGCCCCACTCTCGAGACGGAGCAGGTGCTCGCACTCAACGCCGTTAGCATCAGCCGATCCACCTGCAACATCCCCGCAGATAGCGGTCAGGGACTGCAGCACACTGTCCCTGCCACATTCCCTCCTGTACTCCAGCGTCAAGCCAGACAGCACATGATTCTCCAAGATCGAAACTGGAGCACTCTGCAAAGCACACCATTGTCTTTCAGTGGACAATTTTCAATCCATGGAAGGAGCTACAGACTGCAGTAGAGATTATAAAAGACTACGGAAGAGAAGGAATGCATTGGGAAAATGAAGGGCCTATGTTATTTTTGTGTCATCGAGGAAATCAATGTATCAGCAGAGGCATCTGATGATACATGATGTGATAGGAACTAGGACGTCGATATGTACCACAGTATAAAAACAAATACGTTTGTTCTCAGTTAGGTGGAATCAAATCAAAGCCATGGATTCTAAATTTCTATGGGGTTCTTAAATATGTGAGGACTGTGTGTCGGTGCTTCCCAATAAAGAAATCATAAATATATACTTGATAAAAGGAAATTAGGAATTTTTTTTTTTGATAAATGGAAATACAAAATGCATCTACCTCGAGAATCCAACCAATGTACTTCACATTGTTCACATGCTGATTGACATCCAAATCATTCCATCGAGGCTGCAGGTTTTTGGAAGATGGGTTATAATTAGGTGCACAGAGTTGAAGAATATTAACGAACTATGTATAACCTGTGCATATTTCAATCTCAGACTTACAGTCAAACCGCTGCGGACATAATCGGCTGTGTTGTCATCGAGTTTTGGTAACTTTCTGCTATCCTCTTCCAGAATAGGAGCAGAGTCAATATAAAAAGGTTCTATCTCCCCTCTGACCTCCTCCGGAATTTTTGATAACTTTCTTGTTTGCTTATTCATCATTACCCACACACTGTATAAAGCCAAAGAAAAAGCACCGACCACCAAATATCAAGTCAGCCACAACTACCCCTTTTAAAACTAAAATCATGGATAGCACTAACATATCATTAGTGAGAAACAGTAATCAACTCTTCAATATCACTACATTTACAAAAATCTCTCCAAAAATTCCCAACCTGGTAGCTCGTGTGAGTGTTTCACCAGTACTGGAGTCGCGAAGAAGCCAATCTCGCCGCATCCCATTCTTTCCAGATGCTCCAACCCATGTATCCACTTGAACAACATCACCCCTGCCAAGATCGTAAGAAAAACAACCAGCCTTATCCCATTGGCTACTTAAATAAGAATAGAGAGGAGGGCGATTAATAACTACGATATGATTGTTATGACTATGTATTTGATAGTTGTTAGCACCAAATCCTTAACTTAAATGTAGAAGTTACCACACAGAAAAATATAAATGATCAGTTCAAGCTCCAAATATCTCATATAACTCGAAAAGTACAAAATTAGTGCCCTCTAAGAGTATATTTGTTCAGTACAACCAAATGATGGTATGTTGCTATTATAAAGGTTATAGTATCATGAGGAATAGCATCTAAGTGAAGATTTAATAAATTAAAGTCAGTTAATCCCATAAATTCATTAAAAATATAACCTCAAAGATTACAAGCTTGATTAGAAACCAGAAAACGTGTATACTGCAAGATCTAGACTTACTATTAATCTCAAGACTATAGTCACTATTTCTTTCCTTAAGCTTTACAAAACTCTTTCAAACTGGTTAGGTGCACCAATCTACTATTCATGGGTGGTGGTACAATGCATACAAGTTTGCAAACAATTTCACTTGCACCTTTAAGTCATTGAACTCTCTCTGGAATAACATCCAACAAAAGATTTATCAGGTTGAAAAATTGAGAGTTGGAACTCAAACAATCTGCTTTATGATCATTGACAACGTCGATAGAAATTTAATCCAATATAGGAACTGCTACCATCTATTGACTACATGATCTACACATCCAGACTTCAAAAATAAATAAATAAACAAAGAATCAAGTTGTTGCCGACCAAACAATAGAGATCCAATTAACTATCTGCATCCAGATTGTCATGGGTGGAATTTACCTAGGAGAGAACAGGGGAAGAGAGATGTAACTGGCTTGAGTTTACTTGAACAGTTAGCTAAAAAGCTAATCCAGTACTTAAAGTTGAGAGGTTTGAAGCCAGGACTTGGGTACCAATTACCAAAATCACAAACAAATAACTGAGCAAAGTCGATATGTTGGGTCAAACTCCAATATACAGTTAAAATAGCAGCAGAATAACCCTAGTTTGCTGCTTTCATTTTGTACCTTCCACCAAACAATACAAAGACATAGGACAAGACAAACCATGGAGGAAAGCAAGCAAAAAATATCCCTCTATAAGTCTAGATGGACAGACAGAACATACAATCCATCCTAAAGTGATTCCTCATATTGAATCCCTTGAATCTCAGTACTGATTAAACAGAGGGACGGGGGCTCAAATGTTTAGACCAAGAAAAGAAAAATACAGGGAGAAAGAAGACAATAAACATGTTGAACCAGCAATTATCCAGGCATATATCTTACCAAATAGGATAGCGTTCCACCACAACCTGCATTTTAGTAACCACCCATATAAGGTTCCTTCTACTCATTTCCGGTGTTGAACCAAAACCACCACCAAGGAGTCCCGCAGACCTAACATGATTCAGCGCTGTTTCCTGTCCACGGTCACGCCCAAACATGAGAAGTCAAATATGTTTTCACTTGCAAAACAAGTAAGGAAGAAAGAAATATATGCATGGTGTATGCAATGACACATAATTTTAATTTTTATTGCCCACACCATGAAGAAACGATTTTTCTGGAATCAAATAAAAGGACAATGGATATTCGGTTCAACCTGTAAATGGTTCATCACCGTCTCTATAGACGCAGTCCGATCAGCACCTATTTCATATGACCTAATTGAAAAATTCTGCCGAAAAACAAGCCCATCCTGTACAATCCTCCCGAGACCAAATGCATCAACAAGCATCTCAGGTCGCCTTGGCTTCCAATCAAGAAGCGTCCACTGCTTCTCAGCTGCCAAGAAGATGGTTGTGATGGCTGCAAGAAGCACGCTCCAATCAGGCAACTGATTAATAAACGTCCTTGGTGGCGGAGACGGTGTATCATCCTCAGTCTTCAAGCATTCCATCGGTGAAGTCAGACCAACAGAGGTCCCATTGATCTTAGGAGGAGCTTGGGCATTCACCTTAACCTGCAAACCACCAGAAGAAGCAGATTTTGAATTGATACCACGGGTATCCAAATTGTCCGAACCTCCAAGCATCATTGACGTTTTCGATGAAGCCGGAGATGGAAACGCTGCGGGGAAGAACGCCGAGGTGGCGGCAGTGGCAACCATTTTGACAAGGTGGGAGCAGCCGGATATATCAATGCGAATCCGAATATAAGAGCACTTGCGCTTATAACCCCCCACTCATGCAACCAAAACTTGCAGAGAAAATAATAAATTTTCACGAAAATGCACGACACTCTGAGGTATTGATCTGCAAGAGAAAATGTAAAAATCATTTAAAATCCTCAATATCCTTGCATATGTCCAACTACCAACCAGGAATCTCCATTTCATTTCCTTACGATGGATCAGAAAACACATTCATTTTCGAGAAAACAATTCCCAGAAAAAGCAAGAAGAAAAAACAATAAAAACATAAAACTTTATAATAACACGAAATACATTAATAATAGAAAAATGCAGGAGGTTTCCGGAACCGGAAAAGTAAAATAAAAAACGGAGAAAAAAAGAACTTTAAATCGAATAATCTAAATAGAAAAAAAGCTTATGCAGATCTAAAAACAGAGGAATAATTAGACAGCAGAAAACGTTAAATCTAGCAAAAGAGAAGAGAGAGGGAAACGAAAAAACAAAGATAAATTTCACGAAAACAACTGACATAATACTAAACACAACAACAGCACCAGATCTAAATTTCAAACCAGAAGAAAACAAAAGAAAGAAGAGGCTCCAGTCTTAGCTCATTACGACCTTAGAAAAGAAGAAACGACCCGATCTACAAGAAAAACCGTGAAAAAGATCCTGATCTACTCCTCATTGAACCTCCATTGGAGATCAAATAGCCGCTGAGGAGAAAAAAATGAATAAACGAAACTTCTACACAGAATCTCTAATCTCCCATCGAAAAAAAAAAAAAAAGAAGAATCTCCGTACCTATATCAGAGATAATGAGAGAGAGAGAGAGAGAGAAGAAACAACTCAACTGATTAATGCACCCGACTTAATCGCAGTGATTCGCGTCGGGTTTTCTAATTTTGGATTTTCCTTCAATTTTTCACTGCTTCGCTCCTTCCAGAGTTTTCAACTTCTCCTTCTTCTTCCTAGGGTTTCGTTCGCTCTTTTTGAAATCAAAATTTTGCTTCCACTTTTCCCCTCTGATAAGAGAGAGAAAAATAGAGAACCAAAAGAGAGAGTGAGATAGTGAGAGAGAGAGAGAGGGGGGGGAGGGGACGTTGCGTTACGGGCCAGCGGCTTTTTGGGTGGCGATTGGCGAAGTTCTGGCTGTCCAACGCCTCGCTTTTATACCCGCCACCTGGCCTCCCGCCTTTACCTTGTTTCAAGTTTCGACTTTAGACTCCGTACGCTTTTCAATTGAAGTTACAATTATGCCCTCACTAGATAGAATTAAGTCCCACCGATCACCACTCCAACACTCACGAGCATTAAATCCATCAACTGGAAGCTGTTAGGTTGTGTGGGGGCCACGGCCACCTCTGCGGATGAGATCTTGCCCAGGAGAAGGTCTCGTCGTCTGACATGGCGGATATGGCAGTAAGGTCGTGTTTGTTTCCAACAGGAAACTCGACACGCTTAAAGCCTTAAACCACGCGTGGGCGTGGCCGTGAGTCCGTGACCCAAACGCTTGGGTTTTTGTTTCCGCTGGCTTGACGCTTGACGCTTGACAGACACGCAGACGCCATTACTTTACTGGATTCAACTCAAAATTAGCAAAATACTTAAATACCCTGGTTACTGGTCTAAATTTCTAATCAGTAATCACCAATGGCGTTTGGGCTTAAGGCCCATGATGACCATTAATGGGCTTCTAATTTTGATGCCGATTTGTCTATTTCAATCAATTAATTGGGTTTTCAGCTGCCTGATGACTTGATGTAGACGCGTTGCACGTTATAGCCCGTTGGATTTTATAAGTAGCTCACCTAAATCCATTATAGCTAAACAGAACTCCCCGAGTTGATGAGGTGGTCCACGTCCACGAATCCAAGATGGTCAAATTGTTAGTGGAACTATATTAATTAATTTATATATTTTTTCTTTAAAAAATCGCGTTTTTTCACTTCTAAACAAAAAAAAATAACATGGTTATAATATATTAATATATACATGATAAATCATAGAAATATATTTTGTTATTTTTATTATAAATTAAAATTTTATTTTCGTAAAATATAAAACTACTAATTCACAAGGGACCATCCTGGATATCTGGCCCAGCCCGGGCAGGCCCAATGCGGTTGATACCCAATAATTACCAGGACCCAGACCGGTCCATGATCATCATCCCTAAATTGGGTGTATGACCGGCATCAATTTCCGAATGGCAACGGGATACGTTTGGGGCTGGGACCACACTCGGATACTCCTATCCTCATTCTCGACTGATTTTCATTGAGAAGAAAACTTTCATTTAGGATTTTCAATGTAGATGGGTTTTCCTTCGGAGACTTGAATCATCTAATATTTTAGTTAAAAGTGTTTTTTCGAGAAAAGATTTATTTAAAATAAAAATATATATATTTTTTCATATATAAAATATATAATATTATATAAATATAAATAACATCTAATATATAATCAGCGTCAATACGGGTGGGGATACCACTTCCCATCCCTATCCTCGCTCGGGTACCCTAATTATGTCTGGGCCAGTCAACGTATATCCCAGACCGTATCAAAGTCCAAAGGCATTGGGTATGGGTCTCGTGGGTTGGTTTCGGGTCACAACTTTTGGTACTAGACCCACTGGATCAAAATTACTCACATACAAGACAGGGACCGGTTGCATCTAAATGGATCATATGGCTTTATTTGGAAAGAGTATAAATACGAATATATATAATGTAAATATATATAAAATAGTACAAAGTTTTGTATTTTATATATTTATATTTGTATTCCTTCCAAATACAAATATATATAATATAAATATTTGTATTTGTATTTGGAAGGAATACAAATACAAATATATATAATGTAAATGTATAAAAAAAAAAATAACACAAAGTACACGGTTTTTTGCACTCTATGTCTTTGTGCTGTTCCCAAACTGAACCTTACAATACAATATACAATATATTCCCCAATCTGAAAAGAGTACAAATATAAATATGTAAAATACAAATATAAAGTTTTATAATATATAGATAGATAGATATTTCATGGTTTTTAAAACTGGATTGGGCTGGATGGTCGGACAAGAAAAATTGGGAACCAATCAGATGATCGGTTTCATTTTTTCTCAAAATCAGATTTTTGCAAAAAAAAAAAAAATGTTGATTTGGTCAGCAAACCACTAACCTAGGCAGTTGAACCATTCAAACCGTTGAATAATTTTGTCCGTTTTTCTATTTTTTTGTCAGAATGGGTCAACTATTCAGTTCGAACAGTCAGACCATTCAACCCAAAAACCAAACCCCTGGCCAATTCATTGTTTTGATCGATTTTAAAAACCTTAGATATTTCTATTTATACCCTTTCCAAGCAAAAAAAGCATTTCTGAACCGAGATTTATTTTCTTTTGCTATACACTACAAGGCTTTGGAAACTTTTAATTGCACGACCGTCTTTCTTGAAGGTTGGTGGAGTTAGGTGGCAAATTCAGCACAAACATCTAACATATACACATTCCTCTCAGGATTTCTTTATTGAACGGGCAGGTGCACAGTTTTTACTTTTCACAATACGTCTTTTTGAAGAAAAGAAAATAAAAACTTCTCCACGTAGAAAAAGAGAATAAAAACGTTTCCACATAGAGCTACACATAAGCCAAGCCGCCCATTGATTTTGACTGCACATCTGGACTCCATGGAGGCAGGTTGCATAGCAAAACAGATAACCTGAAACCCAGCCAGTTTGAGACCGGAATCAGTCCTCACAAAAATTATTCCCACAACACTTGACAGCCTTGTATTTTAAAAAACCTCTTTACTTATATCTTTTCATTTATGGGAAGATATTCTCAATGCACCGCTACAAAAGGCTGTAAGCACAATTTCTGTGAGGACTGAATCCGAATTCGATCGGTAGGTTTAATTTGCAAATGGAAGACTATTTCTAGTGCATTCTTGCCAAGTTTAAAGCTTTAAGCAGAAATAGGTCAGGAACAATGCTCGGATGGTTGTGTAACAAGAATCTATTTAGATATAATATGATGAATACAAGAGGGAGGTACCGTATTCCAACCCACTCTCCATACTGATTTGTTTGTAGGCTCCATTTGGAAACATTATGATAAATGTCTCTTTATATTAATGTATGTATTTATTAGACGAATGGAGATGGTTAGCCAGGGCTCCGTTAAGCATGTAGTCGTAGACGAGGAGGAGCCTGTTCGGGTCACTATGGTATCTGTGAAGCTTAACGAAGTTTGGGTGATCGATTGAAGAAAGTATTAGTATCTCATTGCAGAATGACTTCATTGAAGCGGTTTGGCTGATCGTTGCGCCCGCAACATGCTGTCCATGGAGCTTCTTCACTACTACTAGGGGTGTTCAAATTCGATTGATAAACTGAAAATCGAATTGAACCAACCCAAATAAGCTAATTCAGTTCGGTTTTTATTTAAAAAATTTAATTTTTGGTTTCAGTTCAATCGAATTTTCAATCAAACCAAACCGAAAACTGAATTAATGTTGTTAAGTATATTAAACCTTAATTTTTATTTAATACTTTATGGTAATTAATTATTATATTTTCCAATGAACAATTAATAATAGTTAATTAAAACCTAGACTCATTATTAATTGTTCATTAGTCATTAATTGTTCACTAATCATTAACTACTTTTGAAAATGGCCAATTATTCTCCATTGGCATAGGGATTTGGGCCACTTTTAGCTTTTAATTAATAATAACTAATTAATTAAAACCATTGGGACTGCTTTTGGGGCCATTTTAACTTTTCATTAATAACACTTATTAAATGCTTGTCATTTATGTGGAACTAGGGTCCAACCGAACTAAATTAGGTTAGGGTCGGTTTGGATCTAAAATATAATTTGATTCGTTTCTATTAGAGTAAATGGTGAAACCAAATAGTCAGTTAGGTCCTCAATTTGAACCAAACCGACCAATTGTACACCCCTAACTGCTACAACATGCCCATCATAGAGATGCACAAGATAAACAGAGCCAAACCCACCATCACCAATCTTGTTCCTTGGGTTGAATTGATTCATCAAAGACTCAAGCTCTTCATAAGTGAACGTTGGCGGGAGGAGATTAGCTTATCTATGCCAACTGAGGAACAGAGTAGTCGGGTCTTCTTTGTTGGCATATGATTTTAGTCAGTTATAAGATCAGTGTAGTGAGTGTGATGACAACTGACAGGCAAGTAAAGATGAAAATGATGCACAAGAGAGCCATCCGATTGGGACTATCTCCACAAACCCTCGGTGACAAAATTCGGGAATGTGACAAAATGAGAAACTGCAGACTGGAATGAAAAGGATTTTTGTACTACTTTTGATTTCCAATTTACATACACACACACACATACACACACATATATACATTACACAGTCAATGGTGTGATAACCACTTGTCAATTTGCTTGCCACGTGGGCAAGATTAGTTACAACAGATTTGTCTTTTCCTAAGACCCCCCTCAAGTTGGCGCATGGGTAATGCCCAACTTGCCCAAAAGAGATCAAAATTGGTCTGCTCCCAATGCTTTTGCTAACAAGTCAGCAGGTTGTGAAGTAGTGGAGATGTGGCAAAGAAAAATGGTCTTGTGGAGGACATGTTCTCAAATGAAATGATAGTCAATGTCAATATGTTTGGTTCATTTGTGGAATACGGGATTGGTAGCAATGTGTATGACTGCTTGACTATCACAGAAGAGCTAAACTGGTTGTGGATGTTGAATTCCAAGATCTCGAAATATACACATCAATCAAACAACTCCACTTGTGGTAAGGGCCATGGCACGATACTTGACCTCTGTAGAAGATCTCGCTACTATGACTTGCTTCTTTATTTTCCATGAGATAAGTGAACACCCTAACATGGTGATGTAACATGTGGTTGAGCGTCTAGTGATGGGGCAAGACGCTCGGTCTAAGTCATAGAATGCTTGAAGTGAGAGATCATTTGAGGCAGGGAAAAATATTCCTTGATGGTGCACTCTTGATGTATCAGATGACGCACTTGGCAGCTTGCATATGTTCTTCCCTGGGAGCACTGAGGTGTTGGGTAAGAACATGAATTGTGTAGCTCGATTCCGAACGAGTAATGGTTAGATAGACAAGTTGGCCCACCAA